AAGTTCTTCAGGACTGCTTGAAAAAACACAAGCGGGTGTGCTGAAGCAGGTTGGAAATAAACTTTGCAGGACAGTGGGTCCCCAGGAGCAGGGTTGAAGACCTCTGCCCTAATGGATCCTCTGCAGTGAATGGGTGCCGTCAGAATGAGAGTCCAAACAGCTGATAAAAACATCACAATAATCCACATGACTGTAGTCTACCTATTAATGTCTTGTGAACTAAAAAGCTGCATGTTTGTAAGAAACAAATTCATCAAGACTTTTTAACTTTAAACCATTGCTTCTGGCCAGAATATGAGTCTATAATCAATAATAATGTTTCTTCTAGTGAAAAAGTCCATCTCCTGTTGTCCTCTCAAAATCCACCATTTAACGGTTTTCATTTATAAACAGTGCTTGACCTGTGTGAAGTTTTCACCTGATTCAGACAAGACAACTTTTTCCACTAGAGAAAGCAATAGATGACTCATATTTTAACGATTTGAAGTTAAAAACATCTTGATGAATTTTTTTTAATTCACAGTTTTTCACTCTGTAAGATGTTAATGGATGGTCTGGAGTCGTGTGGATTATTGTGATGTTTCTATCAGCTGTTCTGACGGCACCCATTCACTGCAGAGGATCCATTGGTGATGTAATGCTAAACCTCTGAGTTAAAGAAATTTTCAGCAATTTATTTATTGGTGAACTATTCCTTTAAAATGCTTCGTTTTACCACTTTGTTCACAACAAGGTATGTTGTGTATGGTCAGATGTAGATTATGATGCATTAATCCTACACCAATACTCACCAGATTCAGCACTTTTTTCTTGATCTGTGAAACAGATCACAGACCACAGTGATCAGAATCATAGAGAGAAGAATGCAGTGTCCAGAAGCAGACCTCAGCTAACCCCTCCTGAAAAGCACAAGGACTCTATAAACCATGGCAGTGTTGAGGCTGCACACGGAAGATATTAGACTGCATGCAATGCAGAAAGTATGTGGCACCCTGGGCATCTAGATCATCCACAGGTTTCTCAGAATCACCTGGAGCATCTTTTGTTTCAGAAGATTCCGAAATTAATTTAGCACGGTTTCTTCTTTCCCTACTTTCTGCTGCTTTAGTAGGAGCAAGTTCTTTTCCTTTTTTATAACACCCTGTTCATCTGTTAAAGCAGGGACAGACTGTTCATACTTTGCGATCATACTATACGACATACCAGGAAGAGAAGGGAGCACAGGCTCCAAGTGGAGGAGCACAAAAGTTACAGGTTATTTATAACCACGAGAAGAGTTTTGATATCCTGTCAGAAAAACTGCACAGAAAGAACGTACACATACACGCAATGCAGCACTACAAAATCCAATAACCCTGATCTATTTTTATTTTTATTTTTGTCCAAGTAGCGCTTGACCAATTTGAACCCATTACAAAATCTGTTTGAAAATTTTTTGCCCTCACACAAAATTCCCACTTAGGTAAAATTCTATTAAAACTGACTTAATTCACCAAAACAGTTAAATGTGTCCACACCATAAAATTGCACACACTGAGAGTACGAAACCTAATTATGTTAGCCATGACTGACTTTACAAATTAAAATTAGTTTTTTTTGTAAAGTTCATGTCAGTTTTCTGTCAGTATGTTGCAAAAAAAATTTGTAAAAAAAAAAAAAAAAAAAGAGATTAGAAACAAGCAGATTAGAAACAATTTAAGTTGATCATCTACTGAAATATTCAGACATTCTGCAATATTTTACATTGTTCAAATAAATCACTTTCGCAAAAATATAATTAGCAAATAATCTTACAAACCAAAGTTCCAAAATCACCCGCAATCAAGTGATTTCAGCAAAATAAATCTCAGAAGCAAGACAGTAACAATAAATTTGTCCGTAAGTTTTACCGCATTTCTTTAACAAAAAAGATGGTCAGACTTACTTGCTGGAGAAGCAACAGCATTAAGGTGACATTTTGTGATCATAGTATTTGTGATTGCTCTTTTGCAGCAGACCTGTCCTGACAGACCCTCCGAAGTCTTACTCAAAGTTCACATGCCCATAAATTTGACATGGCAGAGAAAGACTTTTTTTTGAAGGATTCCCACAGCACATCATCCAAGGCGCCATTGAGTTGAAGAGATTGATCAAATGGGGCCGAGGGCTTGATGCGCATGTGAATTTCTGTAAAAAAATATATTTTAAAGTGGCTCTGAACGTAAGCTTCAGATACTAGAAATAGACCGCCAAGTCAGAGACAGCACCAGACCGTCAAATTCAAAATAGGTCGGTAAAATACCAAGGGACTGTGTGTGCTCTTCAGGAGGAAACTGGGATTACAAAGATTTAAGCGATTTCAAAGCACCATGGTGACTGCATCAAATACATAAGTGTGAGGAAATGCAAACTTGTAGGGGGCTTCAGACACTACAGCATCTTGAGAGAGCTTCTCAACACTTAAGAAAATCCAGTCAAACAGGTTTTTACTGAAAAAGCAAGACGGCTAACCTAGATCCGCTGAGCAAAAACAGGCTAGTTAACAAGCTTATTGTTCTAACCCATTGTGACAGACAGCTGAGGCTCAGCTGCACGTGCACCATATGAGACTAGAGCGTGTACAGAATGCTTTATTGAAAAATGAATCAGATTTCAAGTTTAATGTGAGAGTGCAACCTTAAAAGTTTTTTTTAAGGGTCAGTTGCTTTTATGTATCATGACATATGTGGACAATGAATGTCTTATCAGCTGCTCATTAAATAAATATGTGGGCACTAAATCTTGATTTGAATTGAAATTAAATTTTATAATTGTACCTGTATATTATCATTAGACCTTCGCTGAGAAAAAAACTGCAAAGCAATCGGCCTAGCAACAAGATGAACACAGCACAAATATTTGAATACTTCAGCAGTTAATGTTAGTTAAAAATGTTAAAAAAAATAAATAAATAAAAAACCATATTTGGAATCAGGAATAAATACAATTCAAAGGATAATATCAATTTCATCCATAAAAATGAAATTTCAGACGTTTTGGAGTATTCTGTGCAAGTGCTTCAGTTTTTGCAAAAATATGGAAATGAAACAAGTATCACAAAGCAGCAAAGATTCCACAGTGAAGTTAATATTTTATTTCTTTAAGTGCCATTCATGCATATCGGGGGAAGGGGTGGTATTGACAATCCTAATGACACTTCAGAGTTATTTTACAGCACTAAAACCAATACAAAGAGAAGCCGTGTCATCTTATTGGACAGCAAAAGTAATAAACCGTGCAATAACAAAATGGACGAAAAGGGGAAAATAAAGGAAACAACAAATACAAGTAATGACCAGGACAAAATCAAACAGAAAACAAAGATTAAAATAGAATATAAACACTGAAACACTGAATGTTGAACAATAGTACAGGTAAAAGGTAGTGTCACACAAAAAGCCAACGCATTTCCATCACATATATACAATATAGATATATACATACTGTGTCACCCTTGGATTGGACAATAACAAAATACTCTGTATTCATCTCCCTCTTTTCTTTCACGGGTGAACCCGAGCCCTTGCCTTGATCCCTCACCACCCCAGAGGAAAAAAGGACAATCAAAAAGACATATATTTACAATAAGCACAACAACACACCAACAATGAATAAAACAGGCTCCAAATACCAGAACTTGTTGGCAGTTTTCTCCCATAAATGTAACAAGGCTTCTCAAATCTTCCTTGATTACAGTAATCTCTCTGGCAGATGCATCCCCACTTGTTTTTAGTTATTTTTTTTCTCTTTTGTTTTACGAAAACGGAGTTGTCTTTAAACAGTTAAAACTTCCACACAACACAAACACAAAATCAAAGGAGCAATGTTTTTTCTTTTTTGAGGAAAAGAGGAAGAGAGAGAGAACTCATCACCCGTCCAGCTCATATTCTCTTGCGCTCCCTTGACGCTTTCTGTTCAGTCCGATCCTTCAGACTTATATTACCCTTCACTTGGGAAGGACGCCAAATAACCTGCTGCCTTAAATGTTGCAAAATTAAAACTTTCTCTCTTTGGCAAACAAGAGATCCAAACACATCACTACCACAAACAGATTGGCAATACATACGAAATATTTCCATCTGAAAACAGACGCTGCTTCTGTGGTCAACATCCAGACAAACCACGATCGAGGGTGAACACCACAGTATGGTATTAAAGTTCACACTGAGGGTGGATCGATGCCAGACGTTCACTCGGCAGTGAGCGAACGAGGTGAGATCCTGCTTGAGTTAATGAACGACATGAGCGTTTGTGCTTCTGAATTCTTTTCAAAGTGCACAAATGACCAGATAAAAGCTGTCAAAGCTCTTTGTATGACAAACACTGAGGCTGGGTAAGCAAGGCTTGTGAACACTTCACTAGTATCCAAACAAAAACATGAGATGGAAAGAAAAGAGGAAGAAAAGGATGCAGGGAGCCAAAGCAGATTTGGGCAATGAAGCTTAGCTTAAGAACAATGTGCACAGCATCGCAGTCTAACAAAAAACACAGACGCTAACCGGTCTGTCTGGGGTACAGTGGATAACAGTTCTGTCACTGTTGTGAGCAGACTCACAAATTCAGCCTCATGGCCAACTGAGTTGGATTTCTGGGTTATGTTAGGCTTTAGTAATATGGTTTCGCCAATTTAAACCCCATCAGCATCAGAGAATCTGACAACTGATTATGTAATGATGAAGATGAACACGAAGAACGTTTGACTGGGTTCCTTAACCAATCAGAATCGTTTTAGCGTGAATCTCTCAAAACCTGTCACATTTAACCCCAAATAAAAAGGATAGAAATATTTTGCTCAAAGAAACTAATTTTTAAGACCATTAAGATTTTTTATTCAAGTGTATTGTTGTTTTATTTTACAATAGACTGTAAAAATTTAATTTCTAGTAATGTAAAGAAAAAAAGCTAAATAAAACAGTATTTAATTTTTTATCAGTATTATACTGCCTTTAAGATAAATTTAATTATTCAGATTTTTTCATGAAAATACTGTATTACAGTAATGAGAATATGACTACTGAATCATTGCTGAGAACAACAGGAATTACAAAAAGAAAAAGAAATGTCTGAACATATCACAGTAATGAGAATTTTGGATGGGAGATTTAATTAAATGTCAGAACTCCAAATCTTAATGGTCCTAAAAATATTCTTTATGTAAACCATAATTTATTTTTCCTTTCTGAGTTTGAGGTTTAAATGTGTGTTTTCATGAAGGACATACGACAAACTGTTAAAAGTTTGGTTTACGGCATTAAGGGCCTTAGGGATCAAAGGCCAAAACATTTCAACGACTAGTGTAAATACTATAATACTGAAATACAAAAAAAAATAAAAGATTGTCATAAGATCATTTTACTTTTCCAAGTCTATTAACACTTACACTTTGATGAATAATAAAACAAAACCCATAAAGATAACTGAAAACTACAGAAAACCAAGGAGACCAAGGTGTCAGATCCACTCCTTCCCTTTTCAACCGCATTTTATGGCTTTTCCAAATCAGCCCTGCACTCTAGAATTTGGTCTAACAGAAGAGCTGCTTCTCACCGAGAAATACCCAGCTGAAGGTCAAAAGCATGGACCTATTTCTAATTTGGGTTCCGCTATTCTAGTCCAGATCTTGTGCATTAGTTTTGTGCTCTTCAAAAGAGATGATTGTAATCACTGATAGCCCTAAATTAATTATATTGCACAAACACATTCCATAAAATCGCTGATATAATAACATGACACTGTGGTTGTTAACTTAGCAGACACTTTCAACTAAACTTCTCAAAATATAGACTGTAGGATGCTAATTACAGTGACAGTTGCTTTAGGGTGCTACGCTTGATAGATCAGGATGCAGTTACTGTCTAGTTCCTGCATTCGTTTCTTTTTTTGAAGGAATTTCTGAATGTGTGTGATTTTAAACTTTGCACCACTTCTTAGTAGCAGTTAACATTCCTCCAAAATAAGGCTATTAGTGTATCTAAACATTTTAGTCATCTCCTTTCTCTCACTATTACACTACACCCAGCATTCAAAAGCAACAGCTAAAGTGAAGGTACGCTCTCTGCTAAAAGTCCTTGTCAGTGCAGCAAAGAGCAAGCGATTTCATGTCGGTTGGTCCTAGCGTTAAAATAAAGAGGGCTCTTTTATTGCGGACCATTAAGCAAATGTGCCTTGACCTGATTCCCATCTCCTTATCCACGCTGCTGTAAAGAGCCACACAGCAGGCTGATTTCTCAACGTGAACAGGGCTCTCTGGTGTCCCACAAACCTCCAGTCAGGGAGGTGATCACTCCTAAACAACGCAGGAAATTTTCAGTGGCAGGTCCTGAGGGCTTTCCGATCGGGAGACTACAGGTTGACGGGTGATGGTCAACAGAATGAGGATTGTGCATGCAAACTTAAAGCGATGAGGAATAGTGAGGTCTGGATCGATATCATTTTCTGACGCACACGTTCAGACTTGCCTAAAACTATTAGTGACAAAAAACATGACACACTTCAGACAGCAAAGATACACAAGTACAAATACTGCAGGTAATGTGGTTTACACGTTTCGTTATGAGCCTTAACGATCAGTCAAATCTGCTGGCGTCGGATTTGGATGCATGGCGACTTTAGCATTTTACAGTGTGTAAGGTCGGAGGAGCAAAAAAAGGGCTACTTGTGCCTGAATGACCAGAGAGAAGAATGGCAGGTGCTTCGAGTGTCACAATACCTGCACCGTTGGCCCTCTTCTGAAAAGTGCCCGGCATCGCAGAGTAAGTTTCACAACACAAATGAGGGAACCAATCTTGTCTGATAGGCGGTCAAGGCCTGAGTTAGTCACCATGAGAGGGGAGAACAAGCTGGACGTAATCACTCGAAAATTCACTGAACAACAGTTGAAGAGCAGGGGCGAGCTTGGTGGGTTTGTAGAGAGGCTGTGGGTTGGGAAACCTTTTGATATAAACATGAACCACTTGACCCTTGGACAAGTATAAAAGCGATCACTTAAACATGTCCTTGTAAATGTGATTGTCTTCAAAGTAATATGTTTTTTTTGTTTGTTTTTGTTTCATAAAATCACCAGGAACACAGGAGTCTCTTTCATGTCATAATGAACAACACCTGCACTATTTTTTAAGTGTCCCGTTCCAATCTGCCTTCTGTCACGGGCATGCAGACACCTCAGGTCCAGCCCTCTTGCACTGTAACACAAACACTCTGCCTCCATACGCTCCTCTCTCGTTTGTCTGCACCACTCTTTGCTCTCGGGGACTGGGTTAGACGATGGAGTCCCAGTCGAAGTCGTCCTGGATGTCGTCGGCGGGCATGCGGCGTATCTGGAAGTTTCCAGCAGGCATCATATGCTGCTGGTTCATCTGAGCGTGATGACCTAAGGGCAGAGCAGAGAGGAACTGTCACGACGTACAGATGCTTCGACATGCAGAAAATTGTATTCCTACTCATATTGTGGAAATATGCAACACAAACTGCTAATGAATTTTAGTTTTTAAACACTGGATCCTGTTCAACATAATGCTCAAAATAGAGGTAATTGTATTCTGGTTATAAGAGCTGAAAAAGACAAGGACCTGTCATAGTGGGGCCAGCGCTGCTCATGGGCGGCATATGAGGATATCCTGGCGGACCCATCATAGAACTTAAGCTCTGTCTCGAGTCCATATACATGTTTCCTGAAAAACAAACTGATGTTACTAAGCTATTAATGTGTTAGTCTTAATATGTGATACTGTGAATTTTAGTGATGAATAAGCCCATTCACCTGTGTTGATGTGTGGGCTGGGCTTGTTTGGATGCATGGAGCCATGGCACACTGGAGGCTGCACTGCCCCTTGTGGCTGGATTCCAGTGCGAGCAAAGAACTGATTGATGGAGGAGCAGAGGTCTGCTATCTGAGTGGGTTCGAGAGACCAGTTATTCAGCTCCGCCTGCCTCATGCTCTCTTTCAGACCTTCAGAAAAATGGTGAGAGATTATTTAATCACTCTGTGCAATTGATTTCTCAAAACTAAAATGAAATGCCGTAGAGCATTGCAACACACATTTAAAATAAAAATATGATATAATTATATAAATATTGATATATTTATATTTAAATAAAATCGTTTTAATTTTAAAAATATTTTAAAAAGTTATTTCAAATTCAGTGTGCATAAATTATTTAAATATTTAATTTTTATTGAACAATTTGAATAAATGTTTTATTAATAAATAATAAAAATATTTAATAACTAATTAATTTACTATTGTCAAATACAACTCACAATGTATCATTATATATCATATTAAGTGGAAGTTGTACAAAATTAACTGCTTAAAATACCAAAATAATAAACACTTAACTTTTTAATCAGCAGTTAATCTCTTGAAAAAAAAAATGACAGTGAATTTAGTATATAGATAGGTATTCTGATTATACCTTGGAAAGGTGACAGATCAACATCAGCCCAGTTGTAGCTGCTGGCAATGCGGCAGCTTTCTTTTAGCGTATCCAGGTTGGGGTACCAGTCACTGGGAAGACCTGCAGACAAAACAAGAAGATAGTGAAGGCCACAGCAGAACTTATCTGGATGTGTGGAAGCTGCTGCGCACTTCCTGTTTGAGGCAGCAGGGGGAGCCATAACCCTCTGCTACAGGCCTGCTCCCTGAAGTGTGCTGCATTTGCTTTGTTCTCATTAGAGCAAGCAGTATAAATCACCCTGTGATTTACTGCTGACTGCTCCAAAGTTGCCATAAATTTCTTAATCTAAAATAAATGACTGTTGGAAGAGGCCTGAAGAAATCGGCCTGTCCCGGCGATGTCAGCGTGGAAGGAAGTATGCTGAGGGTTTGAGACAGAAAGCAAGAGGAAAAGAAGAGAGACGATCAGATAGCAAGAACTATCACAGACACACAGACTCTTACCGGTGTTGCACTGCATCTGTTGCTGGCCAGGATGAGGCTGGTGGGAGAGATTCTGGTGCTGCTGCTGCGGCGTGTGTTGGCCGTGGGCCTGGTGCTGGGAGGGATGCTGCCCGTGCTGGCTGTGCTGGGGATGTTGGCTGTGCTGGCTGTGCGCCGTGTGCGGGTGCTGGCTGTGCTGGGTGTGAGGGCCATGCTGGGAAAGGTGCTGTCCATGGGGCGAGTTGTGGGCCGAGTGAGGGGGGTGGGAGAGAGGCACCTGGCTACCGTTGTTGGGGTGAGAGTTAGTGATGCTGTTCTGGTTGTTGTGAGGGTGGGTGCTGATGGTGCTGCTGGGGGAGTGTTGGTAAGAGCAGGAGGTGTGGGTCTGCTGGGATGACTCCGAGGGCATTCCCATCAAACCTGTAAGGATCAAACAGATAGCATCATTTCAAATAGGCTGCCTGCATCTCATCAGAAGCCCTTCCATCATGTCAACGTAAACTATTAATTAATACTCAAATCGTAGTCACCAATAGGCTTTAATAATTTATATTAAGATTGCATATGTAATACAATAGTTAACATGGAGTCACAAGGCACAATTTTACAGCATTTATTTATAGGCTTTAATACTTTATATTAAGGTTGCATATGTAATACAATAGTTAACATGGAGTCACAAGGCACAATTTTACAGCATTTATTTATAGGCTTTAATACTTTATATTAAGGTTGCATATGTAATACAATAGTTAACATGGAGTCACAAGGCACAATCATTTTACAGCATTTATTTATCTTCTACTTATTAATCTTAATGTTCATTTTTTACATTTGCTTTTTTTAAACATTTTTAAAAGTTTTAAAAAGCATGTTAACATTAGTTAGGCACAGTATGCAAATTTCTACATATACAAACAGATGTTTAAGATGTTTCAAGTTTAAAAATGCATATGTTAACATGCACAAGCAAAATATAATTTAACAAAATGATACATTTATTTTATATATATATATATATGTTATTATTTTTTTGATTAATATTAGATAATATCAAAACAATTTTTTTATTAGAAAAATAACATCATCAAACAAGATTACTAAATGCTGTAATAAATGCATGTTTACTGCCATTTCCCAACACTTCACACATTAACTAAAACTAAATTTACAGAGCCTTATTGTAAAGTGTTGGGTAAAAACTGATGGTCAAAGCTGTAGCCTGGAAACTCTGCATACTCTTGACTAACTGAGCCATTGTGCTTGCATAGACAGCACGAGTTTGACTCCAGCTTGCAACTTTTTCCCATAATCATACCTTATCCTGTTGTTCACGGTTTTTTTTTATCAGTGGTAAAAAAGGGCAAAACATTTTGAAAACATTTGAATCTGTCTATTTAAAATGCACTGGGGTGCCAAGACGGTGGTGACTCAGCACAAAGTCGTCGTCTGCTCTCTCAAATCGCACCAGAATTTCTCTCTCTACAACTTTTCATTCATGCAGCAATTGTTTTGAACTAGTTTCTAAAAATGCCTGACAAGCTTCCAACATCTGCACACTCAATAGCAATCAGCGAAGCGTGCGGCTCGCGGTCTTAAGAGGCCCTGTCCATCATGGCGCTGGCACTGTAAACCTATTTTGGTGGAGAGCTTTTAGAGCAGACTGCGGGCCCTGCATCACTGCAATCGCCAGAGAACACTCATCGGCGAGGTGACAGGGGTGCATCTCTTATCAGCAGAGGTACTGGGCCTGAGGGGCCTGCTGCAAGCTCATGGACTGGGACACCGGCTCTGGATGACTTGTCACCTGAAGGCGGAGGAGAGGAGAATGACTGTTGTGTGAGGGGATGAACACAAGATTAGCAACAATGACAGAATTCAGCCTTGCCACTCTACGGCAGCGCTGCTCAGCCAGGCCCAGTGACCGGCAGATTAGAGCTCAGATAGAACATGACAGCACTGACTATAGCACTCAGCATCATGGCACAGGAAATGAACTGCCAGACACACTGCAGTACAATATGCAGGAGCGAAATCAAGTGCACAAAACCCCTCCAAATCTTGACCATTTATTTACGAGCACTGCTGAATTTCTACATAACCATACAGCCATGATCAAAACAGACACGTCTCCTGAGAGACTCTCTGAAGTTGTTTTTACAGCTATTTATTTTGTAATTAACAACTTGGCGATACTAACTGAGCAACACAACCGAAATCGACAGCAAGATCATAAAAGCTTGCCTGCAAAAAACAGGCCCTGATCCATAAAACAAATCTTTCCAATGATAAATATCCTTCTAAATAAATACAGTACAGGTTTGCCCATCAAAACGAATTAGCGTGTGTGTCTAAACTCTCACGTAAGTGTTTCACTCTAAATGGGATCTGCTCACTGTTTTGAGTCTGAAGAGATGCCTTTCATGCCCAGAATGAGAATGGCTCCCAAGGCCTCCATAATGCCGAGCATATTTGTGGCGTACACAAGGCCAGAGGCTCTGCCATGTCTAGCTCGAGACAACAGTGTTTAACAGACTGGAGATGCCGGCAAAACAGTCATCTGCCACTCTGAAGAAGCCTAATTCTAGCTCTCGGTGCGAACTGGTGAGGGGAAATTTATGTATCTGAACACGATGCAAAGCTATTGCAAACAAGTCCCGTGAACAGATAATTGTTAGCGGCAGCGCTTCCTACAGTGTCTCCCTCTGCTAACTGGTTCCAGAATTACACTACACATAAATAGTATATATATAAAATATGCATATGAATGCAACCATATTTAGCACTGGACTGACAACCATTTTCTGCTAGGGATGCACAATATTAACTTTCGTGCTGACACTAATAAGCCGATAATTACTTTCATGTTATGGCTGACAACTAATAAATGGCCGATATTAGTATTCTATACCATTTTGTCAGAATAAACAAAACAAAACATTAAAAACTACAATAAATAATTTTAAATATTACACATGAATTCAGGCATTACAAAAGTATAATGTTCAGTATTTGTTACAGTATAAGACTACATTTACATTAAAGGTGACATACAATGAAAATCTGACTTTTTCCGTGTTTAAGTCCTATAATCGGGTCTCCGGTGCATCTACCAACCCAGGAAACGTGAAAAAGAACAACCCAGTAAATTTTTTTGGAAGCATGTGAGAAAACGAGTGCTTCAGATTTCGCTTCCCCTGTGACATAGAAATGGGATCTTATTATAATATCATCATCCCTTAATATGCACGTTTCCACCCATGGCGCCGCCATTGTGTTTTCGCAAGCGGCACCGGTGTACCAGTTCTAACGCCATGGCGAAAGTTCGACCAAAGCATACTAAATGTTCTGTCTTTGGCTGCACAGCTGTTCCCAGCTGTTCCCCTTCACAGACATAACCAACTGTTTTTGTAACTAACGTGTTTTTAACATAAACTTCTGTGTATTTGACAGTTTAAGTGCAATAAGACATGAAAGAGAACTTAGTTTAGTATTCACATGCCATGTGACAGCTATTTTCTGTGCGTGTGCTTCAGATGTGTGCGCTCAGAAAACACTATATCAGAAGTTTAAACTGATATGGCCTTAAAACGTATGATTTCAGTGCGATAGACAATCAAAACCAGACAGATGTTTTTTGGCACAGTATCTGGGGTACGAGCTGTAATAGCACAGCCCTATTTTGGAAAATGGGTCGGGGAGCAGCAGCTCATTTGTATTTAAAGATACAGGCACTAAAACAGCGTATTTCTGCTGCCGCTCAAAATAGCCATTTTCAGAGTGATATAATAAATAATCTGTGGGATATTATGAGCTAAAACTTCACAGACACATTCTGGGCACACCTGAGACTTATATTACATATTGTAAAAAGGTGCACAATAGTTCTCCTTTAAAAATTTGCTAGATACTGTATTTAACAGTGTTATTAAATCCGTGTTTGACTGACTTTTAACAAAAGTCAGATGATGGCATATGTAATCCAAATGTAAAAATAGGGAAAATTAACATAAAATTACACATACAATATAGACATGAATATTTAAAATAAAGCGATAATTAAAAAAACATCTTCAATATCGGCTGATAACAAGTAAGATACAGATATATTGCACATCCCTATATTATCCTGTGCTACCAATCATTGTTTTATCCTATTAACTTAGCAATATCAAAACTCAATTGTAAAATCAGAGCAGGAAACACTAGTTAGCTCTAACAAAAAAAAAACCTGCATAAGGATAGTCCTGCTCACATACAAGATTAGCAGCAGAGACTAATTGTACACAAGAATTATGAGCAGTGGGAGTCAGATGACACACTATGCATCACTGTAAAGATGAGCGCATTTAATCTGGTTATGTTCAAACAGACTACAGTGTTCAAATCAGCTGGATGGAGCAGAAATAGAGAGATAGAGACTGAGAAAAAGAGAAAGAGATAGAGAGAGAGCATTGTCTGGTCCACTGAAGTGAATCTATCAGTGTCTGTGCCGGATCAATGCTGAGAGCCTGGAGCGAGAAGCATGCAGGGCTTCTAGGGGACCACAACAAAGAAGCGGCCTTCTAGTGGGAGGACATCAGAGGCAGCGTCTCTCTTTAGCAGCGCTCCAGCAGTATAAGCTCTGCCTTTCATTCCCTTAACCTCTGTGACAGGACACTCCCATGCACAGGCCTCCATTCTCTGGCATTCTGACAAACGCACTGGAATCTTGCTGCTTCTCATAAAGCAGTGCTCCACAATAAAACTCAGCAAATTAAGATCTCTGCTTCAGGTTCACGAGAGGTTAAAGAGCAGAATAGTGGCTGCAAAGTTGGAGAAAGATGGAGAATTGGACTCCTACCGGTGTGTAGCTGTGCACGCTGCCCACACTGTTGAGATTAACAGAGGCCAGACTCTGGTCAGATAGGCTATTGTTAAGGCTGCTTCGAGGGCTGTCACTCCCGTCCTGGTCAGGGTTGTACAATGCCACCTGGAAATCAAGAAATGGAAAGTGTCAATGACTTATAAGTAGTGTTGTTTTTGGCGGCCTGTTTTAATTTTAGTTTTAGTCTAGTCTTTGTGTGAAGCTGTCATTTTAGTTTTTATTAGTTTTAGTCACGTTCATACTCTTTTTAGTCTAGCAATATTGCATTATACATTTAATTATAGTCATCGTCACATGACCAGCATTTACGTTGCGTCTCGTCTCGTTTTCGTCACGTGATAAAGGTTCGTTGACGACTATATTTAGTCATAATTTTCGTTGACGAAAGCAACACTACTTATAAGAGCATTTATGATAAAAATCTAGCTTAAAACACAAGTGCCAAGTTCTTAGACATGTTCATGTGGGTTTCACACCAAAAATTACCTTTAATAACACAAAACTGTTTACATTTAATGACGTTAAAAAGAACAACCTATTTTCCTTACACACTCAATACACCGTGTACACATTTTAATTTAATTGTTATATTATTATTATTATTATTATTAATATTACTATAATAATAATAATAATAAATATTATGTATAGTGCTGTCAACTGATTTTAAATATACTTTTATATTGCAATAATTCCACATTCAATCTTCAAATTAATGTAGAAACAACATAAAAATAGTATATTTTTTAATATTTGTTTAGTGGCATCTTCTTTATATCTGAAGGCGAGTATCACTGATACCAATACTACTGATGTCTCTAGGAAATCGTTTTTTTTTCTTCTAATATTTAACCATTGACTATAGCCATTCAACATTACAGCAGCTATAATTGAGAGCTATCAATTTTAACATTTATTAGACTTTAAAAAATAACTTCTAATTTAAATGAACTTGAAACAATCTTCACATAAACTCATTATAATAAATGTCATATTTAGCTACCTGTGCCCTTCAGCAAGCAGGAAATATACAGAAATTGAATAAAGTTATCAAACACTAAATTCTAAATTAAATATAGATGAATCCTTAAAGCTCTTTTTTTCTTTTGTTCTTGGATTAACAGACATCCCAGCTGCTGGGTTATTAGGTTATTTTGGCTGCTTTAAGAGCTGCTGCTGCTGAACATGCTGTGGATCTGACACACATCGTATTTTCTCACAACTCTTTACCTTTTCTGACTCACTTCAGATCTTAAAGTCTCTACACAGTTTTAAGGCAGCTTTAATCGCCTTTTTTGGTAACTTCTGATGACGTAACTATGACATAGCATGCTCGTAGTTTCATTTGCGCTTTAATATGATACAGCACACACCGCCGTATTTGTGCATGCATTTGAGGAGCACGTGCTACGAGCACAGTATAACGGCTGACAGGACCAGAAAATTGCTTTTTACTGACATATGGCCTGACAACATCTCATCTGTTCTACAGAAGCTCCCTCGTCAACTGTAGCTTTTCCACGTTCGTTTGACTAGCGCCTGGCGCTGAGGTGAAGTTGGACTGCGCGTCTGAAAAGTCTTCCAATTGATGTGGTCGTAAAGACGTTCTGTCTAAATAAATGCAATCCTTTTCAAGAAAAAAAGAGACAGAAGCAGCAGTTGTGAGTGGGGTGGCCAACCCTAGCTCCGCCCCTGCGTTAATTGCGTTAAATATTTTTTGTAACGCGTTAAACTGAAAAAAAATGAATCGCATGCGTTAACACGCTAATTCTGACATCTCTAATTATTATATTTGTATATATAAAAATAATTTAATAAAAAAATTAATTATATTTCTATATTTAATATAAAAAATATTAAATATATAAAATATTTTTATTAAAAATATTAAACTTACAACATAAATTGTATATATTGATTCAGTAATTCATTAATTGTATATATGCATTAGGTTTTTACTTCATTATGATATCAAGACAGTACCATATTAAATCTATTTTTTTTAATTATATATTATAATTACATTATAAATTATTTAAAATGTAATTACGTAAAACCTATTTTATATTAACTGGAATTCAGAAATATAGTATTTTTTATTATAAATTAATATACAGGACCAAAAAAAGGAGTAAGCTACTGTACTATTTCATCTTTTGTCAGGTACATTCCAGAGGTTAGTTTGAGATATGACAGCGACAAGTCTCTGCAGCGCAGACACCGCGGGTGGAGTGCTGAGGAAAAGGAGCCAATCAAACAGAAACCATTTGGTTTCAGAAGTCTTGAGAGGAATTCTTGGTCCTTTTCAATACGTGACATGTGGCCTGCGTACACCACACTGTCTGTACAACAGCAAGGTCAGCGTTAACATGCCGCACCCCACACTGTGGCTCATATAGAGGGAGAGCGTGGCTGGTGGCCAGCAAGATGATCTGCTGTCTCAGACGGCTGAGAGGGGAGAGCTATCCTTCAGTAAAGGTCACAATGCTGGCAGCGTTGAAACCGTCAACTCTCACAACACAAATTGGTTTGGGACAGCTCACAAAGGTCCCGAATGCTACAGAGACCCTGACCTTTCTGTGTGCACTGTTGAATGCGCAGTTTTCCGAAGCAGAAGAACCTCCATTTCAAAATGATAATCCCAATTATCATTTGAAAAGCTAAACTGCAAATATGTGCTGGTCGCAAAATGAGAATAAATAAGGCATTGGAGGGATGGTATGGGAATGAATATAATGAGCTCCTGGGAGAATAGTCCTACATCGAGTTCGGTGTGGTAGGAAAGGATGAATGGAATCGCAACAATGCTGGCCATGCTCGCATCACACGCCACATGTCTTGGCAGCAGCAGCGTAGTACTAAAACCATGCAACAAGTCCCGAGATTCACCTGCCTGAGTAAGGATGTACAGAGGCTTTCATGCTACACTTAACCGGCAGCTCACCCAAAAATTAAAATACGGTCATTATGATCATGTCGTTCCAAACCTGTCCGGGCAGCAAAACTTTCGTATGCTGAACACAAAAGAAGAAACTTTGATTAATGTCTCAATGTAAGCCAATGGGGTCCAAAAAAACAAAACCCTATTGGCTTCCATTGTATGGACATTTTCTAAGACCTAGGGTTAACCATTTCAATAGCGAAAGGCCCAAAAGATTTTTGGTTGCTACAAGAGATGCAGCAAATGCTTCGGTCCTGTTCCTCCTTGACTCAGCGCGACAGCAGATAGAAAGACACATTACAGATCACGGTCTCTTACAGAGAATTATCATTCAAGCAGAATAAATGTTTCCCAATCCTATTATTCCCTGTTCATCAAAAGAGTGGAGCATAACGGTTGCAGGGGCTGCACTGGATTGAGGGTGGATGGGGGGTTAATGTCATGAAATGATTTACATATTATAACTCTTCACTCTTTCAGCTATGTTTAGGCCTGGAAACAGTACATTACCAGAACAACTAACCCTGTGTGCAACTAAGCTCGGGCATGTCGAAAATTCAATCACGCAGAAAACAGTTACAATTATAATCAAAACCTGGTGTGAAGAACAAGTATAAATGTTATATGTAATTAAGTCATAAAAGAGGCTTTTAGCCGTGAGCCTTTCACCACAATCTATTTTTACTCCCTGTATCCATAAAGTATGATTTAAAGACCTCATCACACTGTTGTTTGTTCAAGGCCCAAAACGTAGACGCCTACATACTAACACTGTGTGCATGTCCGCACACACACACACGCATGCACAGTGGGAAAGTAACACGCAGAGAGAAGGTAAGGGGTGAACAAATCCATTGCAAATACTCCTGTGTGTTTGCTGCGGTGGAAAAGGAGCGCTATATTTAGCCGTGAATTAAAGTCAAAAGCCAGTGGAGTCTTTCATACGGGCGACTAATCTGCAGCATGAAACAAGGATTATGAAATCAAAGAGAAATCCACCCAGGTGTCTCTAACAAAGCTCGCATTCAAAAGAAAACTTCTACTTCTACACAATTTTAAGACAATGTTAGAAAAGAAAGAAAGATGGAAAGAAAGAAGAAAGTTCAGCTTAAGTTTCAATCCATCTTTTGTTACAATCTTACAATATAAAAGAATAAATTACAAATATATTTAAAACATAAAAAATAATATCATTAAATTACAAATCTCTCTCTCTCACACACACATAAATACACATACAACAAAATTATCTTGATTACTTAGCATTACATTTCTCCTGTGCATTTTAAAGAAAAAGTTAGAAAGAAGGTAAGAAGCTTTCAAGAAATGTTCAGCTTCAAACCATTTTACGTTAATCAATATAATACAAATATATAAAATATATATATATAACAATAACATAATAAAATGATATAAATTATATATTATACATATATACACATTATACACACATATATCAAATATTTATTTTGATTTATTTAGCAACATTTAAAATTAATTTCTACTATGCAATTGAAGAAAAAGATTATGAAAGCTCATATTAAGCACCGAGTATCATTATTAGGCTTGGGTATCGTTTGAATTTTATAAATTCCGATTCCGATTGCGATTCTGCTTAACCAGCTGAACCAAGAGAGGGAAAAGCATAGCATGGTGATCATTTAGTCAGAGGGAGAGAGAGAATGCTCAGTGACAGCCAGGCTTTCCTTCTCCGTGTTATGCAGCACAGGCGCTATCCCATTGGCCTGCACTAGCAGGCGGGAAAGTATGAGAAAAAGGGAATTCCTGTGGCTTGGCATGAAGTGCTCAAGAGGCGTGGCATGTTCTCTGTTTACAGGGCCCACACTGAGAAACAGCATCTCCAAGGAGCCACCAAACCCTGCTGTCTTGTTTTTGCTCTCCTGTGTGTTTGGTTTCTAGTCTATCAGCGTTTCGAGTAGGAGGGCAAAGAAAGCATATGCTCATGGGATAACCCCGAAATCCCACTATGGGTGGATCTTGAAATTCTTCCCATATGAATCAGTCATACCTTAAGCTTGCATTTTTTAACCACTGTAAGAGAGGAAAAGTCTGTTGGAGGTGTGCTAAAACAACAATAAATGTTACAATAAAACAATCAATAAAAAGATCCATGGTTTATTGTGTTGACATAATAGGATATTAG